CCCTGAAGGGTACTCTTACACTACAGCAAGGGAACAGGGGGATATGTTTCTGGATCACAAAGACAAGGAAGTATTTAAAATACAGGTATCCACATGCTCTAGAAAGAAAGGATTTACAATATAAGCTTACCAGAATTTGCATTTAAGTAATCAGTGTTACATTTCAAAGCTGAATTGCATATACCTTGCTAATGTACTTCAGAATATAAAGATTATGATCTCTTTACCATACTAAGACCTTGGCTTTACATAAATGTAATATAAACATTAAGTGTTATGCCTGAAAATTTCATTTTAATATTTTAATATATTGGCTACAGATTTTAAACCAACTGTAGGTCTTTAGCTCAGACTAAGATGTATAGGTAGGCATAATTTTATGAAAATTAGATAAATAATTTCCATACAAATATAAGAATGACGTAAGATTTACTGCCTGGATTCTCCATAAGTTTTGCTCCTGTACAAATAAAAACAAGCATTTTTTTAATAACTTGCCTTCATATTCCTACAGTGACTACATTTTTCTGAGTTTACTCCTAGAGATGCTTATGTCAAGAAAAATAAGAAATTCAAATGCAATGAAATCCCCTGTTAATTACAAGCATGTCAGTTAACTATTTTCCATTTTCATTGACGTAACTGAACTACCAAACCTGGTCAAGTAACATTTATATAATCTGTTTCTAAAGAAGGACTTAGTATAATAGTAAAAAAGAGTTTTTTTACTTTGGTTGTAGCTATCTATATCCCTTCTTGCACAGTGCCTTTCTCCCTCTGATCCCCACAACTCTCAGTAAGAGACAGAATAATGAGGTCTAACAGCCAAACATCAAGGTTTCCTTTTAATTAATAAAATGGAATCCTGCCCAAAAATATATTAGTACAATTATTACTTGTAGACCTACATAAAAGGAAATGCACAGGTCAGTCAGTGATACCAGTAATTTAGCAAAATAAAAAGCTAAATATGGTATTCAGAATATATATGTCAGTTCATAAATATTCCTCATTGCAGCCTGTCAAGTTAAAAAATTTAAAATCAATATATTTAATTAAAATAAAAGAACAGGATGCAAAGAGCTAGAGCTAAGTAGAACAACACAGCAAAGAGGAGCATAATTTTCACTCTAGAATGATGGCAGCTGACAGAACAGAAGCATCCCCACCCTTTCACTCCCTTTCTCTCCCCCAAATAGCCTTTTTGATGCTGTTTGTCTTGTCTTAACTTCACTTAGGTTCTCTAACAAACAGGCTCTTAATAGCCCTGCTCATGGCTCTGACCTCTAGAATATCCACAAAGTAGCAGGAATTGCAGATATGGAAAGTGGTGAAGGTAGAAAGAAACTCACAGTAATCTTAACTGCCCTTGAATCCACCAGAGATCTTCTCTATACACCTATATTTTTCCATTCTGGATAAAGAACAAAAAACATAGGAAAATTGGAATTCTGGCATGCAGGTCACTAAAACATATAGAAAAAGAGGGGAAGTCTCATATTATTGAAAGAATACCTCCAGCCATGGTATGTCAAAGGGAAACTGGCTTTTCAAGCTAACTGGAAGGAGGTGTAGTTGAGCAAAGCCAGGAGCATTCTGATCTACTGGAGGAGTTGTTCTAAGAATAAACTTACCAGTAAGACAATATTCCTTTTTCTCTCTGTTTTTCAATTTCTTAAGATTTGTTCACAGCCAGGAGGACAATCTCACCCTGGCATAAGCAGAGAGACCCATAGGCTTCAGGAAGGTGTTAAGAGAGAACTTACTGCAGAAAGATCTAAAAAAGGAAGATGAGAATAAAGGTAATGTTCCCTTGTATTTCCTTTGCTGAACAGATTCACATGTCATTAACAGTGACTGCCCCAGTTCTATATGCTGCCAAAAACCTACAGTGCTTCCCTGTGCGGCTCAGTACCAGATTCTCAACTGTCTTCCTTTCCACTGACAAAACAGTTCATGTGGGAAAAGGCCCACAGCAGGTACGCAGCAAGGAGATGGATAGCTGGGAATTTGGAGTTAATTGCCCGCCCTAGTTGGGAGGATGGTATGTCCACTTTCATGTGTGCTTTTAATGTGGCACAATAGATTGCAATGGCAGTCCAGAAAGCACAGACATTTGAGAGATCCTCTGTCCAACATATAAATGGAAAGCAGGGTTAAAATGACAAGCAAGGTTTTTCTGACTTCATTCCAGGACACCTGGTCTACATTTTTGTTCGCAGGATACTCAGGTTAGCAAACAGGAAACAGATCTATGGTTTTTCTTTGCTTACATACTTTTTAGCTAATTTATCTTAAAGATTAATGCAGTCTGTTGGTACTTGTTTAACTAGAACGGGTGTGGATTTCTGTTAAAGCCAGAAAACAAATTGCTAGGTATGTGAATGAAAACAAAATCCAGTGTACACTGCCCCAAACAAAGCCCCCCTGATTATACCCAACCTGAATGTTAAGGCATACGTAGTAATTTTCTTAGTTTTTTTTTTTTACATTCACTACCTAAAACAATGAGTCAAAAGAAAGAAAGCTAAAAGAAAAATATTATAGTTTGATCATCTTATATTCTTTGCTTGTTCTCTTTTGAACAACATGTTCCAGTATTCCTGTTGAGTCAGATCCAGAAATATCAAGGACTTAGCTTAAAAGTCAACATTTATTTAAGTGTTTTACTTTTTGGCTCATTCCTTGTTTCTAATCTGCCACCCTCCTGATTATCTCAGTCCTCTGCCTGCCTTCACCTTCTCTGTTTTCTCCCTTTGCTTTCTTGCCACTGTCTCAATAGCTTGTTCTGTCCAGTCATTATCCTGTACTTCCACCATGATTCCCCAGCTTCCCATCTACCAGTTTAGCTTAGGGGTTTTATACAGCTGCCCACTGCTGTGGTATCTGAACACCTTAATGCAAAATCACCAGTAATAACAAAGTTCCATGGAGAAAACTTTTTCTTTTCTAGCAAAAAAAAGTCTGCTAGTAGTGGGGTGCCTTTGATGTTTAGATGTGGGGTTTATGGAATGCTTGTCCCATTTCTTTTGGTAGAAGGCCTTTAAAAGAAGGTGGCTTTCCAGGCAGACTCTGAGTTTTCCTCTTTTAGAAGTCAACAGGTTCTGAAGACAAGATCAGAAATCATAGTTTTCACTCACTTCAAGCATGTCTGTATGACAACAGTAGCATGTACTGGCTGGGGCTTTTGCAAGCCCACCTCACCTCACTACTCCTGCTGATATATTCCCAACCTAGACTTATGCTGGAAGGACCTCCATCTATGGCTTACTTGAGCGCTGGCCCCACTTGCATGTTTCTGAGTTTGAAATGTGTCTGTGGGAGCAGGTGAGCAAGGCAAGCTTGAGAATGCCCTGGCCAGGCCATGTCATCGCCACAGTGAAGATATGCCCTAGATTCCACTTTGTGATCACCATTGTCCAAGAGGAGCATACCTGCCCATGGTGGGTTGTATACAAAAAGCTGGCCTGTGATGTAGCAGGAGTTTGAACCTTTGAAAATCAGGACCAAAACCTTTAACTGGCATGAGACAGTGACTGGTAGCCAGCAAAAGGAGTTGAACATGACCCTGACATCCTATGTAATGGAGAAAGCAAGTACAGTAGTCACCTTCGGCATCAGTAGGAGCCCATGCACTGTCTCCATATTCAGCTTCAGATACAGTAAATTACAGTAATCCAGCCTGAAGATGAATAATACATTGATCACTGTGGCCAAGTCCCCTCCTGAGAATAAAGAATGAAGTTTCCTAATAAGACAGAAATGAAAGAAGGCATTTCCCAATGCCAATGCTATCCAGTCCTTTGAGCTTTGTGAGGAGTTAAAGAGGATTTACAATTGGGGCATGCATGCCTTTAGAAGGTGAAGACATTGTCTAAGGTAGTTTTCTCAAAGCTTTTCCTCTACCTAGCCAGCATCACTTTAGTTTTGTTTGGGTTCAGCTTGAGACACGTGCTGTTCATCCAAAAAAGCCTAGTGTGTAGACTTTCTGATTTCTTAGTGATGATGGTTGCAAGAGGTAAGAATGAGAGCTGAGAATCACTGCCATACAGTTGACTGCTAAGCTTGTGGCATCTGTCTCTTGCAGTGTCTTATACAGATGTTGAAGAGAAAAGGGGATTTAAACATTCCCCTTTCATATAAACATACCTTTGTTGAGATCAATATATTGCAGCATCATGCTAGTGAATAACAACCAGAAAGTGGAAATGAATAGAAACTGACTGTAAGTAAAAGTTAATGATCAACAGCAGTTAGTTTTCCTTCTCCAAATTGACTAAAGGGCAAGATATAAGCTGTTCTATATTGCACCAGAGGAAAACTAAATTGGATTTTTCAAAAATCCCCTCGTTAATTTCAGGTGCTATTGGTCAGTGTTGTAAAGAAACTTATTTTCTCTTTACGCTACTACAGGAGCAGTTTAGATTAAATAATAGGGGGAAGAAAGGTTTAATCTGAGACTGAACTATGGTGCAGACACATTTTAAACAGCAGCCACTGGAGCTGCTTGAATGTTAATAATTATAGGTATTAAAGGTGTCAGAGGTAAGGAAATACATTTTACAGTATAATTTTAAAAACTTCCCTCAGGGGATTTAAAAAAGGAGTGTATTGTGCAAGTTAGAGACACTCACTATCCATTGGTTGCTGCTATGCTTCTGTTTTCTCTTTGTCCCTGTGTTCATATAGCACTTTTGAACTCTGCCCAGTTTCTCATAGTACTTCTGGGACTACAGCACGTATATCAAGGAATAGGTAAGACTAAAAACAGCACACTCTTTGCAGTTGCATCCTGTAGTCCAGAGAAAGGAGTTCTTCAGCATATGAAAAATTATCTGGCTTCAACCACAGCTTTGTAGCTCAGAGTCCAGCAACTTTACTAACACCGCACTGTACCCTGTAAAAAGCAAAGAAACTAAAACTGAAGAGAAGGAAGGACATCAAGAAAACACCTCTAGAGTCTGTTTTGTGAGTATGGGGTTATAGTTAATATGCTGTTTTTAACCATGTGGGTGTATGTGAGAAGTGTAACAAGCAGGCACTTTGGTTTTATCAAAATTACCCAAATTTATCACTAACACTCAAAAATAACTAATAAAGGTGCAAAAATGAGTGTGTGTGATACAGAGAGATGTATAATGCAAGAGTATTCCATAAAAGTCCAAAAATGGAAGATAAACAAGAGAGCCACAGGGATTCGCTTTGTAATGGCATAGATATGTTACTAAGACTACAAATAGATGTTGCATTTGTCCAGGGAGAAATCATTTTCTCTTGTGACAAAGTGGGATCATTCAGATGTCCACATCCATTATCTTAGGACAAGCCCTAGAAAGGTTTGCAGGATGAGAAGTACTAACCATTGGTCCCAGGACATTTCTAAGTGAGTCTAAACTGGGGTGGGCAATTATTTGGGCTGGAGAGCCACTTAAGGAGGTTTGATGAGCTTTTGCAGGTAGGCAGGGCAGAGCTGCTGACCAAGCCTGGCATGGGGCGGGGTTCTGACAACAGTGTGTGGTGTACTGACCTGGCCCTGGTGCAGGGGAATGGGGTGCCGACCCAGCCCAGCACAGCAGTGGTGGGGAGGTGCAATTGATCCTATCCAGCCCGGGTCTGTCCACCATGCACCCACCTCCAGGAGCACCAGATGGAGTGGGCAGGCAGGGTGTCCATGGAACAGCCACGGTGACCCTGCAGCAGGGAAGCTTGGCTCCGGCCAGACAAGCTCTGATTTTGGGTGCTATGCGCTGCTGACACATGCACTCTCCCAGTTTTTTTAGGCATGGGGTTTTTTTGACCCTGGGATCTCCCAGAATCAATTCCCCCCCCACCCCCGCCCCATGCTACAAAATAGCAGCACAGGGAACATCTGTATGTGTGATGTGTGAGGTATGTGGCACCGCAGATGGTCTGCAGTACCACGTACCACACATCCATACTCACTGGACATGCCCCCCTGTTCTAAACAGTTGTCCTGGGATTGTGTCATTGAAAAGCAGCAGTGCATTCAACCACTCACTAGGCTGTGATTGAAAAGGTAATGTGTGTATACACAAATCCTACAAGTTTGCTGTTCCAGGACAAAATAAAGGCACAGCTGGTCTCAGGACAAAAGCAACATCTCTTTGTAGCCTATGCCTTTTCTTGTGTTTTATTTAGTAAAGAATTACTTGATTGTATGAGGTGCCTTCAGTTGACAATGGAGCAAAAAAGTGCAAATTTAAGTACCTAAAAGTAGGCGTTTAATTTTTCCTTTGGTACCTTAGTAAACAGCATGACAACCCACAACTGTCACCAAAGCCAGCAGGAGCCACCGCACATTAAGTGGCTACATCTACACGAGCTATTAGCATGGAGCAATAAACTCCAGCGCATATTGTTCCAGAGTTTACTCATCCTGGATGCATTGTTTGCATGGGCACCCAGGACCACATCATGTTGAGCCAGGCTGGAGCAGCCCCACCTGGCAGGAAGCCCAGCAAGTCAGCCTGCCAGCCTGGGAATGCTCCAATATGGCTCAGTGTGCTGCAGGGGGACTGGCTGGGGCACAAGGGTGCTCCAGTGTAGGGCTAGCTGTCAGGGAGCCCCTACACTGTAGCACCTTCATGCCCCAGCCAGCACCATCAGCGTCTACATGTACGTTGCTGTGCACTAGAGAACTCTGCCGTAGGATAGTACTTATATTTACCAGTACTAACCTACAGTGGACTGAATTCGTTTCCTGAGGCCTAATGGCTGGGGACAGACATTACACATGAACCGGTTTAAGTGATCAGAAACTGGTTTAAAACTCCTGATTTAAGTGATCAGAAACTGGTTTAAACCTGTAACAGAACAGAGGTTCAGTATACAAAAACCAGTTTGAAAATGTCTGAAACCAGTTTGAGATAAACCTGGTTGAATGTAGTATCAGACTTAACTGATTTGGCTCAAACCGGTTTATGCAATGTCTGTCCCAGATCCCTTGCTGGTTTAAGATAAACCAGACACCCCCAGCATCCCAGCATGCTCTCTGAGCTGTGAGAGGCCCTGTGCTCTACAGCAGGGCTGGCCCCTCACCTCTGCTCCCTTGCTGGAGCTCCAGCAGAGACTGCAGGTACAGCCGTTTCCTAAATATGGATTTAAACATATCTTTAGACATAACTTTTGGAAAGCAAATAAAAATGTTGGACATTTCTGACAGAGGTGTACCAGTCAGTCAGGCACTTGGGAAAGCTGCGATTCACAGAGACAGCAATGACTTTGGGCTGCTGCAGTGTGTGGGGCTGCAACAGAAGCTATTTTTTTGCCTCCCTTCCCCACAAATTGGCACCTGAGGCTGTTGCCCCAGTCACTCTGCCCTCATTATGTTTCTGATTTTTCAGCCACAATGAATACACTAAAGAAGAGTCTTGCTGAGACTAGAACAGCAGTTCTGTAGAGTGACTAGTGTATTGCCTACCCATTTCTTCTGCAGTATACGATGGACCTGGATCAGATGAAAGAGCTGAACCTGGAGTTTACACGGTGTGAACTAGATGCAGTGGAGGGAGTTTTCCTTACAGAAACAATACGTGCCAATTGGAATAAAATTTGGAACTTCAAAGCTAGACCTGATGATCTGCTCATCTCAACATATGCAAAAGCAGGTGTGTGTAGAGGGAGTAGTATAAATGGTTTGAGGCATAGCTTACTGTTTGAACTGATGCATGTTTTCCCTTGCTTCTATTAAGGTTTGTGATTGAGAGTCACATACTTCCAAAATGGACCTTTCATCAGATTACATTTTAAAGCTCCATCTGAAGATAGAGTTTAGTGGCTGTGGCTTCCATGGTAGAAATAAAAAAAATAACAATTAACCACTACCAAAATCTGAATGGTCAAAGTCCACTATAATTTCTTTTGATTCAGGTTATGTTTGTGCGTGTTCAATAATACACCAAGAACTTTCACATCGATTGGTAATAATTCAACCAAACCTTCTTAAAATCATTTACTTTAAAATAGCAAACTTTGAAATCACTTACTTTTCAATTACAAATCTAGGTTACTGAGTGATTTCTGTAAATGTATTACTGCCTTATAAGTCTTGGTCAAATGTTTTGGATGAATAGCTCTCAGTCTCTAGTTGGTTTCTTTGAAATCTGGATCAACTGCTATTTGTTTTTTGTGTTCTGGGTTTGGCTACTTAGACTAGGTACAGACATTCAAAAAGCCCGAGGTGGATTTCAACTAATTTATGCGGGTTTTTCTAAGCAGTATCTGCCAGTTCAGGAGTGAACAGAACACAGGTTTGCCCTTTCATGGGCTGGGGGCAGGGGGTGGGAAAGGCAAAGGCAAAGGCAAAGGCTGTCTGCAGACCCAGGCAAATAGCTTGTGGGTGTTCATGTATGCCTCCCAGGGTGCCAGAAACTGCTGAGGGCAGCTGAATGCAGCCAAGTGTCAAGCCATCCCTGACAAGCTGCTAGGCACATGCCTCCCCACCCTGCCATCATCTGTTAGGCATCTGTCAGCTGCAGGCAGCCAGCAGAGGGAGGTGGTGACCCCTGCTCATGGCAGCATGGGAGTCCCTGGGCTTTGTCCAGCATGGGGGCACAGGAGCCCACCCTGGGCAGAACAGGGTAGGGGGAAGTAGGGCTCGTGAGCTGCTGGGGAGAGGTAGTGACAGCAGCACACCCTGCATTCCTGGCCCAGTCAGCAGGGCAGAGTGTCCCTTCCTGTCCCAGTTCCATCTGAGTCTCAGGACTATGTGTTGGAGCAGCTCCAGAAAGGGCTCAAAGGATTCCCACCCCCACCCCCCCCCGCAACCGAGAGCCAGCACTGAGCTCCTAGCAGAGGCCCTTTCCCCTAAATCTACAGGGCTCTTGTCCCTGGAAAGTAAGGAGCAGCTGCAGCAGGGGAAGAGACTTCAGCCAGAAACTCGGCACTGGCTCTTGGGGGGAAACCCTCTGAGCCCTTCCTGGAGCTGCTCCAGTGCATGGTCCCCAGGCTTAGGAAGACCCGGGACAGGGGAGAAACACTCTGTACCCTGCCAACCTGGACCAGGAATGTGGGGTGCACTGCTGACACTGCCTTGCCCTGGCAGCTTAGGAGCCCTGTTCCCCACCCCCACCTGTGTCCTGCCTGTGGCTGACAGCTAGAGAGCCTGGGGGCAGGACCCATGGGGCACATGACTGGATCAGCCAAGTCTAAGCCAAATTCAAGTGCACCTCCCTGACAGCAGGGGCTAGCAGGGGACCACAAAGGAGCCTGGGATGCCGGAGGACAGCAACCTAAGTTGAGTCAGGAGGGGATAGGCGGTTCTAACCTAAATTGATAAAATCCTGATACTACATCCATCCAGGTCTATCTTGGATTAGATTCCACCATTTTCAAACCGGTTTATGTACACTGAACTTCTGTTCTGTTACAGGTTTAGACTGGTTTTCAATCATTTATACCGGTTCATGTGTAATGTCTGTAACTGGCCTTAGGTTGTTTAGTGATTTATGTTCTTGCCTAGACTATTTACGTTTTTCAAACATGAGGTTATTGAATAACAAATTTTTATATTAATCTTGGTTCCCAACCTCCTTCAACTCAAGACACCCCTCAATAGATTCCAAGGACCCCTCAGACAGTGCCTGCTCAGTTTTTCACTTGATGATTTTATACCAAAAAAAAATGAGCAATTCTTCTGTTGCAGAGAACTCAGAAAGATCACAAGAGGTCAGAATGTTTTTAACACAATGGATTCCTATTTGAAAACTCTGGGTTTATCTTGTGAATCATGTTTGTACACCCAATAGTGCTAACATTGCATGGCACCCCATGGCACCCTTGAAGGGATCTCAAGGCACCCCAGGATTCTGTGGACCCTGGCTGAGAATCACTGTCGTAGCTGAAGAAAAATCTGTAAAATATTAGTAGTTTACAAATGTCTAGTCACAGTCCAAGTTTAAATAACTTGAGTCAATCAGAATATTTTCAGTAAAAAGCAGTTATTGCAAAGTGAAGATTTTCTGTAGGAAAAAGTTGCTATTTTGTTGCAAGTTTTCAGTTTAACTGAAGGAAAGTTAAAAACAAAATGTTTCTTTTGTGTTGGGTTGACCTGAGTTGAAATATTTCAGTTTATTGAGCCAAACTTAAATGTTTAATTTTGAGTCCATTTGACGTAAAATTGATTCTGCCTAAGCAGCTACAATTCTTCATGGGAGCTGTAGCACAGGTAAGTAATTGCTAGGGGTGTGCAAAGCAGGCTCATTCGATTTGAATTTGGATTCAGTCCGAATCAGGGACAGTAATTCAATTCATTGATTCAGATCGCTGTCCCTGATTCAATTCAGCTGAATCCAAATCTGAAGAATTGATGCTGACTCAGAGAATCAGCTATTTGCACACAGACACAGCTTTAAATTTTTTTTCTACATACCTCGATGTATCAGCACAGCTTGTGAATGCTGCAATGCTGGGGCAGATTGAGCGTCCCACAGGAGTGCAGGGTGGGGGCCCTCCATAAGCTTGGCGGTGAACCTGGAAGTCCTCTGGGGAGCATGCAGGAGGCCCCCCACAACTCCTCTGGCTCAGTGATTGGCCACAGGGGGACCCCGGGTGCCCCCTGAGACCCAGGAGGCAGGGGGCCCCCCACACACTCTCCAGTGGACCCAGAAGTGGACTGGAAGTGCTTCTAATCCATTTCCAGGTCTGCTGCCAAGCATGCTGGGGAGCTCCCCATGGTTCTGTGGGATGCTCCATGTGCCCCAGCATCACAGCATTCATGATCTACCTGCTACCTTGAGGTCTGTAGAAAAAACATTTAAAGCTGTGTCTATGTCTGAATCACCAAAACTTTCTGAATCTCTCTGAATCGATTTGGAGGGTTCCAATTTGATTCAGAGAGATTTAAAGGGTCCTCTGATTTGATTTGGATTCGGAGATTCAGCCACCAAATTGGGCCGAATAGCCACTGAATCAAATCAGGGACCGAAGCTTCGCACAGCCCTACTGATTGCCCCATTCTCCAGTATGAACTGGGCTCCATGGCCACATTACATCTCTCCATAATGCACTACAGTCTCTCCTCTAGTTGAAGTCTCATAGTACATCCTAGGAGATGCAGTTAAGTCAAAAGCATTGCTTACAGAGGGAATGTGGGCATCAGTTTTTCATTCCCCCATTCCTGTATTTCAGCAGATTGGGCAGTCAATTTAATATCAAGCAACCCTACAAACAAGGCAATTCCAATGAAAGATATTGAAACTTTCTGACATTTCCAAACTGGAAGTTTTCAGAACTCTTCATTCCATGAGCATTTGGGTATTTCAACTTTTTCCCCAGTTGAGGATGAAAACAAATGTCAAAATATTTCCTAGAAGATGGAACTTCCAACTTTCTTCCTTCACTGTCTATAACATAATACCATAAATCATGGTCAATTGAATGCAATTCTTTTTTTTTCATTTAACAGGAAGAAACACTATTCTGAATGGTATCCCTGGGGCTTTTCCTCGGTGGGCACCAAGTCTTCTCTTCCCACCATGGCATCGCATCCTGATTTTCTTTCTAAAACTTAAATCCATCCTCATCTGGCTATACTGAGCTTTTAATCTCCTTTCCTGCTCTAATGTAGTATCCATCTTTCCAGTACTTTAATAAGCACTCCATTTCAGTTTTAGAAAAAAAGTTTATTCTGCACTGGGGACAAATATAAAGCTCTAATATTTTCAGGTACGACATGGATACAGGAAATTGTGGATATGATCCAACAAGATGCAGACCTTGAGAAGTGCAAACGTGCCACCACTTATAAACGACACCCTTTCATTGAGTGGTCACTGCCTGAATCTTTCGGCCCTATTCCCTCTGGTAAGTTGGAATAGGGCCATGCCTACTGATGTTTACTCAAAAAGTCAGAAAATCCTACATATGATAGTAGCAAAGTAGTGGAGTTTAGCTACAAACAGTTTTAGATTTTATACACAGTTATTATATCAACATTTTGTTTACCGATAAAGGCATCCATGAAAGACACTGATTACATCATTTTTAAAGGAAATTTCTGTTCTGTTTGTCTTGCCATCTCTACAAAGGTCATTATGATAACTCAGGTATGCGAGCTGGGCTCTGCATATCCCTGAAAGTTGGGTGCTGATCTGGTTGGTTTTACATGTTTTATCTTGAATTTAACCTTTAGATCAGTCATACTCAGCCCTCACTGGCTTAGGAGCTATGTACTCAGTCATTACTGACCAAAGCATTGCAACAACATACACAGCCTTGGAGGTGTATTCTGGGAAACACTCCAGTTTAAAATAGAAATATAACTACAATGCATTAGGTAACATTTGCATAGTCCAAATACTTTCAAAATGGAAAGGTTCTGTAATGTTTACCAAATGTGTGTGTACACACACATGCACGCACTAGTTTTAAGCAATTGCTAGTGAATGCCAGATGGTAAGTTAGCTACAGTTATAGACTTAGTAAAGAACAGCTGAAATAGATAAACCTAATTATGTAAAAGAATAGGTAGTAAGCTTAAGGGAGCTTGTCACTCAGGAGGTACAATGTAGGTCCCTGAAGAAGCCTGCCAACCAGCTGAACCTATGGGATGGACAGCAGGCTGGCTAAGCACATGCAGTACTCCATGGACCATTTCCTATCAGGCCAGTCAAAGCCCCTTTCCTCCAATGAGGCCTCCCACTGCACGAGAGTCCTTTAGCAAGGTTGGCAATCAGCCGCTGGTGCCCCTTCTGAGTCAGGAGGCACCAGTTACCCAGGCTAGAAAAAGATAGGAATCACTGTTCATCCTTGGTCCATGAAAATAAAGGTAAAGATAGTAGCAGGGACACTGAAAGCAAATACAAGCTTTTGTTATACAGTGTTTTATATGTTACAGTATTTTTTACAATGTGTTTTCAACATTGAGTTTAGCAAGGAGATAGAATTGCACAGGTACAAATTGATGCCTACTGGTGTTTGCTCAAAAAGTCAGAAAATCCTACATATGATAGCAACAAAGTAGTGGAGCTTAGCTACATGCTCACTTGTGAATTACTGTGAAATGTTTCACAGGACTAGAATTAGCAGAAGTGACGCCTTCTCCACGAACACTGAAAACTCATCTCCCCGTACAACTGGTGCCTCCATCATTCTGGGATCAAAACTGTAAGGTAATGTGAGAAAGCCAGAGCTCAAACCTGAATTCTCTAAAATAAGAAACTGAAATAAAATAAGATTGAGGCTGGTTTTCTCAGACTCCTTTCAGAATCTAGAGTTTCCTCTTCCTCTTTTCTTTGTAATAGGAACATAGGAAGGGGTCATACAGGCCATCAGGTCCAATTCCCTGCATTTGTAGCCAATGATTTGACCAAAAAAGTCCTAAAAGTCATCCATTCCAGCCCCTCTGGCATACTACAATCATAAAGCACCTCACAAAAAGCCATCCTCCAGCATGCCACAGATCAAATGCAGGGGAAACAAGACCACCAATGCCCTTACACTGTAAAGGCAGACAAATAGTGAGGAGTATCTGATCTGAGTATATGTTAATCTCCGCCTCATGCATAAGAGGGCATGTCTACATATGCAAATGCTGCTGGATAGGTTTACTCCACAGTAATTTACTCTAGAATAAACCCACTCTGGGCAGGCATCTACATGAGCAGGCATTTGGAGGCAGATTTGCTCCCGCCCTGCTCTGACCCCTTAAAGCAGCCAGAGGGAGCTCCTTGCTCTTCCTGGGTGCTAATCCAGGGGCTGGCAGGGAGCACAGGTCCAGGCAACAGTTGTCTCCTGACTGCCTGCTAGCTTTCCCACTGGCAGATCATGGCAGAGGGTTGGAACCTGCCCCTCCCCCAAAGCTCTTTCAAAGCCCCATGCCTTGATCACCTGATTGGAGCATGGGGCTAGAAAAGGGTTGTGAGGCTGAGACCTGCCCCAGACTGGGACAGTTTTTAGCCAGCCCTGGGCTGCATGGGGAAGTCTCCATGTGCAGGCTGGAGCTGGCTGGCAACTGTCCCATTTCAGGCAGTTCCCAGCCAGCTCTGGACGGCATGTGGAGACTTCCTCACACAACCTGGGGCTGGCCAGAGACTGTCCCGGTCTGGGGCAGCTCCCAGCCAGCTCCTGGCTAGGTGGGGAACATTCCCATGCAGGAAACTCCTGGTCCTAGCTCCATGATTGCTCCTTGTTGCTGGGGCAAGGAGAGATTGTCCCAGCCCAGGATCCAGTGTGGAGCCCACCACAGCAGCAGGAAGCTTCCGGGGAAGAGACCAATCTCCTATCCCCTGCTACTTGGCTGACCGGGAGCAAATTTGCTCCCATCCAGCTGTCTACACGTACAGTTAATTTGCTACCTGTATTTGCACTTGCAGGTAGCAAATTACCTGCCAAGTAGAGCAAATTACTGCTCAGTAAGGATCTTCACATGTAGACAGTGATGCTTACTGAGCAGTAACTGTGCAGTAAGGGTCTTGTGTAGACAATCCCAGAGGATAGCAAAAACCTCACAGGCCTTGCCAATTTGACCTGGGGGGAAGACATTCCTTCTTGACCCCACATCTTGGGGCCACTTTAATGCTGAACAGAAGAGCAAGATTCTACAGCCACATCCCTGAAAGGTTTCTACAGATTAACAAGAGCATGAGCGCATCACTATCAAAGTTTTTACCTTTAGTGGTCACTGTCTTAGGTTACAGAGAAAGGGGGGGGGGGGGGAAAACAGAAGCCAAAACTTTAGGTAATGGCAGCTTCTAAACAAAAACTTTGGATGGCTTCAGTGATCAGGCTCTAAGAGAAAACATGTAAGGATACTCAGAGCCACTGCAATTGATGCATAATATAATTTTATTTCTCTCTCTGTCTCTCTTGTGTCCACCCTAATTCCAGGTAATCTATGTGGCAAGGAATGCCAAAGACAACCTGGTGTCTTATTACCATTTCCACAAAATGAATAAAATGATGCCTGAACCAGGAACATGGGAGGAGTTTGTAGAGAAATTTATGGATGGCAAAGGTAAAAAGAACGTGTTATTTAGTATTCTGTTCCTGTCTTAAAATGTGTGCTGTTAACTGATTTTAAGTCCTCATGGGACTCGTGGAACCAGATCCCTGCCCCAAACATTCAGTAGCAACTTGCCTCCATCTCACTAACCTCCTTGCCTCCATTTCAATAACCAAGAAACATATCCTTGCTGCACATTTCTGTCATGAATAAGGAACGCTATTATTAAGGAAGATGGCTCTGCGTTCCTCTGCGCAAAGAAGAATGTTCTGGTGAATATGGTGCCAGTCTGGGATTTTGAAGGCCTAGGGTCAAGCCCCTGTGTAGGCTTCCTATGCAGCCCTGGACCAAGTAATTTAGGACCAAAGTGAGAGAAGCATTCAGGTACTTCTTAAGTACAAATGGGAGGCCTAACTTCAAAAGTGCAACCCACATAAACCCTTTGCCAAAACCACTGGAGTTTCAAGTCCTTACATTATTGCCAGTAGAGTCACTTAGATTCCTGAAGTTCTGCTACAGTACTTTCACCATGTTAGGGGACCTGATCGTTTGACTGCTGAAGGCCTTTTGGGATTCATGAACTATTTAATCCCACAGCTAACTCCCTGAGGGACCTGATCCAGTAAGTACATGAGAGCACTGATAATACTGAGTTCAGCGCAAAGCACAGCAGCCACAGTCACTTTTGTTTTAAAACATAGTTGGAGGAGCCCACTTTTATGTAATATAATGTAATAAAATAATATATTATATATTTCTCCCACGAAGTGGGAAACATGGACTCTAGGTCTTCCTCAGCCTAAGGAAAACCACATCTTCCACTTCCCATGGAATTGCCCTAGCCACCAAGGTAGAGGCTGAGCTAGGCTAGTATGAGGGCATGCTCCACCTTTTTTGTTGAAGCTGCGCAGGAAGGAATGCAAAATTCATAGAGTCAAAGAAAACATAAGCAAAAAGAACCATGACTATAGTCCCAG